CCTTTTTTTTTTGAATAAATTGGTTTTATTTTTCTTTAAAACTAAATAAAAAAAATATAATTGATAATAATAATGAATTTTCACTTTTTTTTTAGTTTATATAAGATTATTATTATTTTTTTTATAAATATTAAATTATTATTTATTTTTTTTTACATAATAAATATTAAAAATATTTATATAATGACGTTCAAGATGACTGCGCGAAACAAAAAAAAATATTAAAAATAAAATTTCAAACAAAAAAATATTTATATAATGACGTTCAAGATGACTGCGCGAAACTAAAAAAAAAATATTAAAAATAAAATTTCAAACAAAAAAAAATATTTCATGACTCATACAAAAAAAATAATAAAACTATTTATAACACTTTCAACAAAATTAATGTCATTTTAATAAAACTATTAAAAAAATTTTCTCCAGATATGAAATATCCAAAGACATAGCTAACCATATATAATGGTAAATATGGCAGATTTGGCATTACCAATGAATTGCATGGCAGCTTTCTGATCTGATAATTCCTCAGTGAATTTGGCAAAAACCAGAGTGTATTTACAGAATTGAGTTGGTTGACAGGTTCCTCCTAATACGCGCAATCGTAGAATTTTAAAATTTTACAAACCTTTAAAAAATAAATATATTATAAAGGCTGTCCTAATATTTTGGAAAAAATTTTCAAAAATAAATGGCAGAAGTATATTTAGGAATTTTATTTTACATATAGGAAATCTACTATATGCTGTTAATATGCAGTTGCAATCAGAAGAATATAATTATTAATAAAGGATCACTAAATTATGCTGCAGAAATACCAAAGTAAGAATATTATTAATATTATCGGATAATTATTAATAAGATTTAATATGATGTCATGTTTGAGGAGATTGTAATGCTTCTTTATTTTTATGATTTGCCAAAATATTCAAAATATTAATTTTACAATGTAAAAAATAAATTTATTTGATTTTATGCAAATGTATAAATAAGATTTTATAAAATATAGAAAGTCAAATAGTTATAGTTAATTATATTTTATTTGAGATTTAAATAATGGAACTAAACGTTTACCGTCGTTATTAAGATATTTATAAAATTCCTGGAATGACATTTTTAATTTTGTTTAACCATTAACTCGGCCTCTAATGTTGTTAAAGCAATTCGATTTCTCTCCTTTCTCCAGGCAGTCCTCATCAGGCTAAAAATGCGCTCCGATGAGGCATTAGAATGAGGTAAGGAGAAAACATACTCGCAATTTTTTTCAAGCATGGGGATATCGTTATTACGAAAAAATTCCATCCATTTCTCCTCTTCTTTTAGACCATCTAACTTTAAGTATTCTGGCGAATCATAAAAAATGGAAAAAATTACAATCTCCTCAAACAAGGCTTCAATTTCTATCCATAACTTTAATATATTTATTAAATTACAAAAACCATCAAATGATGGTTTCTCTTCCAAGGTCATAATATTTATACACTTGTAAATAGAGTTATTAAAATCAAATCTTGATTGTAAATATTCCAAAATTGTCTTAATAAAAATATTTGCTTCATTTAAAAATACGTTAATTATAGTCATATTTGAACATTTTAATATGATATTTTTAGCAATAGCGCCATAAAATTTATTATCTATTTTTAACTGTAGAGATGAACAGAGCTGTAGCATGATTTTGTGAATCTTTATCAATAAAGAATCTTCTGATTGCAACTGAATATTAACTACATGAAGTAGATTTCCTACATGTGAAACTAATCCCAAATATGCTTTTGACATTTCATCCTCGAAAATTTTTTTTAGCAAAATAGAACATTTTATTACTTAAATCTGTTTGGTATATGGGATATAATATCCACTTCTAAAAGTTCTATTCTTCTAACACAAAAATTTTGAAAATGTCGAGTGGAGCACTGCAATTCTAGAAAACGATATAAAATATATTAAGTAATTTAAAATATATTTATAATAATTATACATACTGTTCTAACTTCTATTCTTTCTAACACAAAAATTTAAAAATGTCGAGTGGAGAATTGGAGAATTTTATAAAAAATATATTTTAGAGCGGAAAAATAAAATAAAAGAACTAGACATATTTTTCGAATAAATATTTAAAATTTATTTTAAAAATATAAAAATAATCAAATACTGTCTCTCAAAATTATTATTTATATATTAAAAACATTAAAATGCTAAAAAATAAATTGTGGGAGCTTTTAGTGGGAGATTTCTAATTGTGGGAGTTTTGTGGGAGTGAGATGTATGTGGGTAAACTATAAAATTGTGGGAGACTCCCACTGATGGGGGGAGACATGGCAACCCTGTTCGCAAGTTTAAATTGATACGTTTCATTGATAGTTAATATAAAACATTCCATATTTTATTTTCATTTCCTTATTTCAATTAGATGCCCTAATGGCAAATTCCCTATTTGCGTTATGATTATTCAATATATTCTTTGCACCAGTATCGCACCTGACTGTAATCCTAATGAATATAATAACGTAACCTACCCTTGGAATAATCCTGGATGCGACTGATTTCGTTATACTTACTAATATTTTCTTATAAACTCTATCAGAGACCTGGTATTTTAAATTTTTTAAATATACCCGGGCCGGGCCTTAATATTTTTTATAAAAATTTTTACATTATGAGTTAATGGTTATAAGATTATATTATATTATAGTTATGATTAATATAATATTGGGTGATGGTTAACACACCTAACACCCATAGATCGATCTAATTATTAATTTCCTGCAAATTTATTCAAAGTATTAATATATTTTTTTATAATTCATATCTAAATTTTTACAACATATTTTACCAAAACAATCAAATAAAGGAATATCTTAAATAAGCCCCAATATTCAAGTATTAATAATATATTTTTTATAATTCATATCTAAATTTTTAGAATATTTACCAAAACAATCAAATAAAGGAATATCATGGCACAAAATACTAATGATATAATTAATAAAATTAAAAATAATATTTATTCTTTTAGAAATACAAATAATAATTTAAAATCTGAAATATGGGCTAAATTTAACATCATCATAGATGAAAATAAAAAAAACATTGGCTACGTACAATGTAAGAATTGTTCAAGTATATTATCTTATAATTATAAACATGGTACATCACATCTAAAAAGACATAAATGTGATGGTAAATCCATGAAAATTAATAAATTTTTTTTACACCTGAAAAACCAACCTATAAATGTAATATAAAATATTTAAAAATTATAAAATAAATTATATTAATATTGTGCAATTAGATTATATTTTCAAAATACTATTTATTATACATGCATTTTTTTAAATAGCGATTTATTTTTATTTTATAAATTAAATAGTAAATTAAATACAATATATTATATTCTTAAAAAAAAATATTATTAAATTATATAATTTACAGAGGATTAAAAAATATATATTAAAATGGATACTATAAAAAAAAATTATATATATTTAAAAAAAAGGTGGGTATATATCATCCAAGAGAAGAATGAATGCTTAAAAAATTAGACCAGCAAATTTCCAGGGAAATCTGCTGGCGAAGGTAAAATCCTTCATTGGGGTCCCCTGAGATCTGTCTCATTTTTTTCCCTATGATTTTGATGAAATTGAGGGCCTCGTTTCCAAACATGCCTAGGGTATTGGTAACGATAGGAATGAACAAAGTGTTAGCGAGGCCAGCGTATTTATTTTTTTTAAGGATTTCTGCCTTTTCGATAGCAGAAAATGAGAGGTTAGACTTGGCTGCAAAATATTTTTTAAAAAATATCCGAACCGGGCCGGGCCGTGCAAATGGTGCCTCTGCAGGTCTCTGCTCTATATTAATACTCCATATATTTTTATAGACGTTTGGCATTTTATATGCTGTTAAATAAAAATAACAAAATCTCAGAATCATTTGTTGAATTATTTAACTTTATGGTTCATTATTTTTTTCAAAATATATTAGATCTGGAACACGGCTTGACCCGGATTTTAAAAAATCGGCCTGGCCAGGGTTTATATTTTCAGGCACGGCCCGCCGGCCTTAGGGCTGGACCTGCAGGTCTATGATATATATTTTGAAAAACATTATCAAAGTTATTAAAAGGTTAACTTGTATTTTTTTTAAAGTACACATTGTTATTAAGTAGGGCTGTGCCGATATTAAATATCGGATCGGATCGACACCGATATTTAGCGTTTTCCAAAAATATCGGATCGTGCCGATATATATTACTTTTCTTTTTTTTATTATTTAATGTATATTTATTTTACATTAGTAATATAATAATATCTTCTAAATAATTTTTTTAAAACAATGCAAATGCACAAATTTTATTTATTTTTATAAATAGATTCTTAGTATTTTAAAAGTTTTTTTTATAAAAATAGAAAGGAACACCCAAAGTTTTATTTATTTTAAATCTTTTTAAATAATAACGCCAATTTTATTATTTATACCTTAAATAAAGGAATTTTTTAAAATATGGTATCTGAATTATGGAAATATTTTACAAAAGAATAATTTTGCAAAATGCGTTATCTGCGGAATTCTAATTTCACGGGAAGGAATAATGAAAAATTCATATAATACTATCAATATCCGTAAACTTTTTTTAATGATTGTAGATATAAAAAAATTAAATTAAATGCATAATTAGAATTTTTGCATAAAAAATATTGATTTCTTAATTATATTTGGTTCAAAGGGGGTGGTGAAAAATCAATACAAATATCGGATCGGGTTTGAGCCAATATCGGATCGGATTGGTGAAAAATATGTGGATCGGCACAGTCTTATTATTAAGTTTTTCCATATTATATATTTGCTCTTTAAAATATAAAACAAAGATTGAATATTGGGATCCCTATTGTTGGATCTGCCATACGTTGAACAATATTCCCAAAAATACATTCAATTGTATTACATGCCAAAGATCTTTCCATCATAGGTGTTTAACAAATAAAGTTAACAAATTCTCGATGACTTATAACGGCCATTACGATGAAAAATTAGGCATTCTGTTATTCGCCTGCCCTGAATGTCAAGTTTTATTTATATATTCATGTTAAAATAATTTATACCTATTTAAAATTACAATTTAAACATCGATATTAAGTTTTTTAAAAAAAGCAATCCTAATGCCGATTTTTAAAACCTATATCCTTCATTTGAATTTAATTTGAAAAAGAATCTAATTTCAGTATATGTGTTATGTCACGGAAAAAATTTACAAGAGATATAACGCAGAAAAGTAGTAGAACCTAATATCGAATTAATTGGGATATTTAATCCATGGATTATTTATTAAGGATGATTTTTAAATTTAAAAAAAAATGCATTTGACTGGAAATGTATTTTAGCGTGAACTGAACTTTATAATCTTAATTTTACATTAATTTATATGTGGAATTTTTATAAAATTAAAAAATAAACAAAAGTTTATGGTGAAAATTGTCTGGGATTAATAGTTACAGATGTTGAAATATATTTTCGGGCAAATCAGAATTTAAAAATTACATTCAATAAATGATTTAAAATTGAGAGGCTCCAAATCCCCATGGATTTCATATTCTAAAACGTCATATATAACATTAATTTCCTTATACATAGCTAATAAAAATCATACTAATGAATAATTATGCTTTATCTAATAAATTTAACTGTCTAGGTTAGATTAATATTAATTTACAAACCTATCTTTGAACCAATGTCATAATGAATATTTTCTACGCAATAAAATCCACCTAAACTATGGGTAAAACAAGAAAAGCTTTAAAATTTTCAGTTTCTCATTGCCAAGGCGATATTTGGAACATTGTTACTAACGATTAAGTGTTTTTTTTAAGTCCCGGAAAGTTAATCATATCATCATCTTATTTAAATGTTGGCTATATATATTGCTGATTGTGACTTGTTTGCAAATTTTTCTTTTATAATAATTCGATATTTTTTAAACATTAATATTAAAAAGAAATTGAATTTTTGATCATATTTATTTATTTTTATTAGGAAATTATGTCTAAGATGTTATATGATTATATCTTTAATCATAAAATAGCCCAAAACAATTGAATCAGTTTTTTTATATCGGCCCCCATTTAATATTTAATATCGGTGCAGTCCTACTCATCATCCTTGTATAGTTTCCGACCAAGAACAATAATTTAAGTGTATTCAGGGTATAAAGATGATTTAAAAATCAAAGTCGTTGATAAATGTTAACCTGTGAATTTCTTTGTTGTATCTTTAAAAATTATTACTACTTTAAATATTTTTTAAGAAAATAGCAGAAACAAAATGTAGTTCAGATCCAAACGAAAAAGAAAGTAAACAAGGAGTCAAACAAAAATTATCTAAGGAAAGGTTAAACAAATTACTATACTATGCGTTCAACCGAGCCAGATATGCTTTTGTAAGAATTATATTTTTATGTTAAAATGTATAATAGTTATGAAAACTAAATTTATGACGATCTAATTTTGATTTAGGGTTAATATGGTATTCTTCATATAATATTCCACAAAATATTAAAGGTTTTTTCAGGAAACTTATCATAAAGTTTTTCGATGTTAATTAAAAAAAGTTTGTAATTTTTTTAAAATTATATCGCAGCGTGTTTTAAAATCAAATTCTATTATTATTTTAAACATCGTATAAATAAATTTAAATGTTTTTATTGATTTGTATTCCAAAATATATGCTATACTAATCAGTGGCATCGTTAGCTTTTTTTTAACTTGAGGATATTTTAGAAAACTAAAGTTTTCGTGGCTTAAGTCCCTGTGCCACTTCCCCAAATGCTATATAATTTTTCGGTTTTTATAGTAATTTTTGTTTCAGGTACCATTTAATAAGTGTTATATCAATGCTTAATATAAAAGTTTAAAGGACTTTTCTTTCGGTTCGGGTTATAAATATTTAATCATTAATTTTAAATTTCATATGAATTAGTTAACAAGCCAAGCGAAATGCCTTAAATATTTTCCCGTGAATCCAGATTACGTTGTGAAACCAATGAATTTTAATAATATAGAATCAGTAAATTTTTACATTTCATTATAAAATAAAGTTTTGGAAACAGTAAATTATTACATTTTATTATAAAATAAAGTTTCAGAATAAAAAAATATCTTTTTTTACCTAAATTTACGAAATTATATTAAGATGTATTTTCATTTAGAATATTTTTTAGTCCCATATATATCTCATCAATTTTTATACATTTTATATTTTTAGAATATTCATCTTAGAAATTATTCATCACCACAAGAAATGATAAGTGACGTTAAATACATTTACCACAATACTTGGATATATCATGAAAGTACGATATCATGATATTAATTTTGTTAAATGCTATTTTTAACATTAGAATAAATTTGCAAATATTCATATTTTTAAATTTATTAATTTATTCATAATTTTTAAAAAGATATACGTCTATTTTTATCATATCTAAAGTAAAACACAGTCGTAACTCACTAGAAACTCAAAAAAAACTCTCAACTCTCAAGCGCGTAGAAATCATATGTAAGGAGGAGGTTAACGAGATCGAGGCATGTGATGAATGTTATCACAACGCTCACACACTGCCTTTTGATGAATGGTTTACCGTAGTCTGTGGATCAGTTCATACCCTGGTTTGGGCTAAAATGAAAGGTATTTGTTTAAAAAGTTCAATATAAATATTGCTTCTAATTGATATGAGAGAACCAACTAAAAAATGATTAAATTTTAACTTATTCCTCATTTCCCAATTTGTTTAGGGTACCCATTCTGGCCTGGTAAGGTGCTTCGAATCCACCAATCAGGTGGTGCTATTGATATTAAAAATTCAAATAATGACGAACAAAATGGTGTTTCAAGTGGTAGCAGTACGCCATATAGGTGCATTATATATTATTAACTTAGTAGGATTTTATTTTAATTAATTTTAGTCATGAATAAATGATTGCCATTTGTAACTGTTTTCTATATTGATGAAATTTTTTGATTTATTAAAATTTTTAACTATTAGAAATTAATGTAAGCATTCATTTCATTGGCAATTTTGTAAAATATAACTATTAATTTTTATGTGGCAAATACTAAGCGTTAATAATTAATTTTTTAAAAAAATATTTTATTTTATCCAGTATTCCCAATGCCAACAACGTTAAACTGGATGTTAGATTTTTTGGAAAACATAATAGGTAAAATTATTTTTTATATTGTTTACAATAAAACCACCCAAAGTGATACCTATCTTCCCATTCTTAAAAGGGAATGATTCCCGTAATATAACCAGTTTGTGTTCCCGCCAGAGATTTTATTCATTAGGGGAAATTTATATTAATCAGTGCTAATAGAAAATGTTATAATAATCAAATATCCTACCATTTTTAAAAAAAATTCTTCGCGAAGATAATAAGTCAAAAGAAGAAAAAATTATTTGCATATTATAGCATTATCTATCAAAAATGATAAATGACTATGTATTTATATTTATTTTTTATTATAATGAAAAATGATTCGGATGAAGTTGGAATAAGAAATAAAAATCGTTTTCTTCAAAACATAGATATGATGATATAATATAGTCGAGGCAATGAATATACAGATAATATTTTCCTATTGAATCGCTAGTGTGATTTTTTTTTCTTTTTAGAGGAACTACTCATTTTAAGATATAAAATAGAAAGCTCGTCATTTGAAAATTCAATAATTTAAAAAAGGCAATTATATATTAATATAATTACTTTTGGGGGGTTAAACATAGTATAATTAGCTTAACGTAATTATATATAATATAATATAATATAATATAATAATTATGACCTATAAAACATAGCCTATTATGTAACACTATTTAATTATTTGAAATATGAGACAAAAACGTTACTACTATGGAGATATTCTCTAAATTATCTGATTGGTGTTTTTTTAAAGTTTATTGCCTCATATAAGAATTGTAACTTGGTTGCTTCCTTTTGTTCTTTTTCGGAAAACCTGTTCTCTAATAATTTCAATAAAGTTTCCTTATTTTAACCACCTTATTTCTATCATTCCCGATTAAAATCAAAGTGAATATTTAATTGACAACATTAGTTAGAATATTTTATTAACTTTGGCCCTTTTTGTCATAGTAGCTTTGGCTTATTAAATATTTAATATGAAAAAACTTTTAAGAGAATTAGCCATGTTTCGCTGATGAACTTAAATTACTGTTTAAAAAGAATTATATTTAATACCATTATCCATCTTGTGTTTTATATTTTTATGAAATTTAACGAGTATCATGCTATCTAATTGGGATTTTTTTAAAAAATGTAGAGAGTGGTAATTTTCCCCTTAATTGAGAGTAAGACTGTAGCCGTCTGCTTCATGGGGTTAGAGTGGATCCATGAAGACTATATTAAATAAATAGATGCAGTTGAATAAAGAATTGAGAATAGTAAATTAAATATCAATTCACTATTTTGGACTTTTTAAGAGAAGCCTGATAAATTTTTATTTTGACGAATTTCACTATTAAACCAATAGAATATTCATCAAGAAACATGAATTAAAAAAGAGAAAATAAAATATCCTTATATAATGGTAAGAAATTAGAGGATTAAATCTTTAAAACCTTATTATCACTATTTATAAAAATTAAATTTGATTTTTTTTGCTTAAATTAATTTATATAGTGTTTGCATCTAGTAGGACCAGTCTCTTCTAACTATCGGGTCCGACGGGACGTTACGATCGAACGCCGATTAAAAAAGATAAATGTTTACTATATATATTTTTTAATTGATGTACATGAACACATAAAATATGTTTATTTAATGCCTAACTTATATTTCCCATTCATCGTTTACTTTTCCTATTCTTCCGTTTCATTCATTAGTCAAGTAATTTAATTTATTAGGTATTATATATTTATTTTAGAAAATGAAATCATAGATGATGATAACATTATTGAATATCCCTCTTCTGGAGGAGATAGAATAACATTGATTTAGAAAGTAGTAGTAGTACAAATGGAAAAAAATCAATCAAATTCAAATTTGAAAGATGTTAGAGAATTATATAAATTTTTTAAAAAGGATAATTCTGGAAAAAACATGTAAAATATATGTTTTCAGATATTTTCCAATTTTTTAAGCACAAGTATATTATGTGAATATATCAAATTGAGAGTTCAAAATTTTAAATATATGAATTAAAACTTCATCAAAAATATATACTAATAGTTATGGACCCTTCTCATATTAGTTCAGAAGGAAAAACTTTTTTCATTATATTATATTTATAACAATAAAATTACAACTTCTCAAAACAAAAAATTAATAAATGTATTGCTGAAATCATTATAACGTCTATTACCCCATACATGCACTGATTACTAATATTAAAATTGTTGAAATGCTTGGATACATAATTCCTAACATTAAAATTTTACCACATAATACTTTTAAAACAAATATTCAAAATAATTAACTCAATATAAAAAGATATGTTATATCGGCTATCAAAATTGCCAGGAAAACTGTCTATCACAACAGATTTATGGACTTATATTTTAAACATTTGCTTATTTTTTGATATTTTTGTTTTATGCTTAAAGTCCATATATATAAGATGCCACTGTATTGATGAATCGTGAAAATTGAATGGTATAAATTAGATATAAATTATATACCCTATCCTCGCAAAGCAGAAAAATCTGTGAATGTTTCTCCGAATTAATTGTTGAATTCAATTTGAAGGAAAAAATAAAAATAACAACTGATAATGCTACAAATATGCTTATAACTCAGGATCGGAATATTGATGAAGTTATTATAAAAGTAAAGACGATTACAACAAACATATTTCAAAGTCCATATTACTTCGAAAATATAGATCACTACTAAAGATAATGGGATGGACAAAAAATTCCAATGATGTTGAAACATTTTGGAATTTAACATATTTGTTACAAATTAATCTATCTTTTTCTTATTTAATGGATTTTTTATTTGTTAAATTTTAAAACGATAAATGTGTTATTCTGAATTTGATAGCCTTGGCAAACATTGCCTAATGAATGATGATAAAATAACTAATTCCTTTATTACTTTATGAAACTATCTTGGATTTATCTGGATTCTCCTATCCTACCATTGGCTGAATTAATAATCTTTTATTTAATATTTTTAAATGGTCTCTTCCTTATTTGGGCATATGCCTTATGCTGATGGAAAACATACAAATACAAATAAGTATTTTTACTTCTTATTCTTTCCCCTCTTTTATTGATGTGATTTCAATAGATGTCGCTAAAAAGTTGTCCACTGTATTCATAAATCTTTAACTATGGGTTCCTACATTGCTAGTCTATTAGACCCCAAAATTAACAAAATTTCCTAATTCCTTATAATGTATTGCAAAATTTCTTTTTATTTAGGTTCACATGTATAATTTATTAAATACCCCTGAACATTTTGAAAGAAATATATAAAAATATGTGAGCACTTTATCAAATTGCATAAAGGGAAACAAAGTATATAAAAATTTTTTAATTTTTTTTATATTTATTTAAGTAAATATCCTTGAGGGGGAGAATAACCAGGAATAGGCTCATGTGGACTGGGACATTAAGGGAAGCTGATATAGATTAAATGAAATCCAAAGTTATTTATCCTACATTTTATATCCAATTAATTTCCACAGCAGGCTACATCAGTAGCGTGTGGACGGATCTTTTCTATAGCTAAGAAAAAAATCTCTAATGACACTTGAATCATGATAAAAAATGGAATTATTTTGATTTTTAAGAAAATAATTAGAATATTTATATATAAAACAATTTTATTTTATAACCAAATTTCTATCACATTATATTATCGAAAACTCATTATATTATTTATGAATCTGATTAGTTTAATATTATTTTGAAATATTAAGTAGTTGTATTTGTAATATTATAAAAATGATTTGATGATATAATTAAAATATTGGTAATTTAACACATTTTTTAAATAAATTTAATGCCTAATAAAATATTTATAGCTTAAGAAAAAATCATATTTAGATAGAACCGAACTGAACCGATAACAGTAGATTTATTTTTCACATTTCGTGATTAGTCATTTAAGATAATTCTCTAAAAAATTTTAATTAGAACTTATATAATTAAAATAATACGTATGCATATATATAGGACATAAAAAAATTTTGCATAAATATGTATATGTTATCGTCAATGTGTTATTTTTCAACTTTAAATCATTTTTAAGCGCTTTTTAAAAATTTGAAAATCTGATTTTACCGGAAATGTAAGCCGTCATGTTTGGAATACCCTACCCTATCAATTTCAGACAATTTTTCCATGAACTTTTAAATTTTTAATATAAATTATAAATGACTCATAGGTAACAGCAAAATTGTCTGCAATTCATAAAATAGGTATTCCAAACATGATAGAATATATTTCCGGTAAAATCCGATTTTTAAATTTAATAAAGCGCGCTCAAAAAATTATTTAAAGTTGTAAAAATAACCCATTGCCGGAAAAAAACACATTGAAGCTCATATATATATTAAGACAAAATATTTAATAATTTTTATAAAAATTCAATACCTTATATACTTATATAATAATTATATAAATAAAAATTTCTATTTACAATTTGTATAAATATGTAAATTTATATTATGACAAAATTAATATGTATAAACATTAAAAATTATTATTTTATTTAGGTATAGTTAGTTAATTAATTCTAAAAATTCCGCTTATAGTCTATAATAACATCCTTTAGTAAGTTATATAAAACTATAATTTCTTTAATATTTTGTAGGCTCAGGCAGTACACAACTTCCAAATTATTAAACAACCTTTCAAGGCTATGCATGATTTTTAGTTGGTTTAACCCCTTTTGATTCTTATTCTTTTATAATAAGTTAGGCTACTTAAAATTTTTATAGAATTCATTAACAACACAGATAATTCGTCAAATTTAAAACGAAATTCGTCTAACAAGCTTGGACAAACGAATTAAAGTTCACAAAATTCGTAACTAATTTAATCTAGTTAGGGTGGGGTATTATATTTTACTTATCTAGCATAAAATAATTTTAAAAAAAAAGAAATATTATATATATTTATTTTAGTTATTTTGTCACAATGATAAAATAAAGAATTTAGAGGAATAAATATGAATTAAAAATAATTATTAAAAATTCTCCTTTACATATTCTCTGATGGTTATATATTCCTGAAAACTAGTATTTATATAAAAATATATTATTTTCAAATTGTTGATTTTGGAAAAAATTTTCAAACATTTATAAGCATGTAATTTTGCATTATTAGCAGAGACTGCAGAGGTACCATTTGCACGGTCCGGCTCAGATTTTTTTAAATAAAATTTCAGAACGGCCTGGGTTTTATATTATCAGACCTGGCCCGGATTTTTTAAAATATTTTTATTTTTTTAAATATTTTTATTTTTTATAGCTAATAATGACGATTTAAAATATACGGCCCAGCCCAAGTATATTTAAAAAAATTAAAATACGGCCTAATCCATAGTCTCTGGTTAATATATATGAGTATGTTAATAACTTTATTTTCTTTATCATGATAGCGTATAATATAAATTAACAAATAGTTTTCTAAAATTAAAATACTACACGATATATTATTTACTGAATCCAAACATCTGATTCCCTCATCAGACAAAGAACAACAGGCGATCAATATGCTCATGTAAAGAAATGTATATAATTATCTTTTCTTGAAAATAGATTATTGGAAAACATCCATAACTGTCAATTATAAAACTAACAGATACAACATGGATAATTTGAACCACATTTATTTTAGAATACCGTTATTTTTTGATATAATATCAACTTCAAAATATTGTTTAAAATATCTTGCCAGAAGGACGTATTCTGTAATAATGTTGATCAATCGCTTAATATTTATGCTTCTGACAAAATAATTTGAGTTCATTTTATGCTTATTGTAGATCTAAATATTTAGATATTTAATATTTTTGGGAAATCGATTTTTAATAAAACTCTAATTTTTGTCATAATTAAAATATGTTTAATTTTTGATGGATAAAATGAAAAATCTTAAGATAAAATATATGTCGTATTGTGATATGGAATGCATGGGTATTCAGTGTCTCTCAATTTAAATCATTTACTGATGGCGAAATTTACATTTAAAGAAATAATAATTTGATTGGATATGTATTTTCTAACTCAATAGAGATTTCAAAACAATTTTGGATCAACTTTTGAATTAATAATTTAAATTTATAAGTTTTCAAAAGTAAGTGCAAAAGTTTATGGCGGAAATTATTTAAAATTTATAGGATAGTTCTACAACTGCTATTATACATTTCCGGTCAAATTAATATGTTTCAATTCAAGTCGTCTTTAGCAAATGATTTAGAATTGAGATATTCCGAATCCCCATGGACTATATATCCAAAACGACATATATATGCAATCTTACAATATGACTCATTTGAAAAAGGTAATATTTCCATACTATATTTATTTTTAGTTATGTTTTAGCTTATTCTGTGTTATTGATTTTCTACAAATTTGCATATTTTATTCTCACTCAAATGTAAATATTTGTTTTCTTATAGGTCTTGGTTGCCCTTACAAGCTTGTTTTATTTTAAGCCGATCCCCACCAACTGGCCCGATGAATACTGGTATACCCTTACGTTTTAGAAATGAGTATGATGAGGCACTTATCGAACTATCTAAATATATTGTTAATTTAGAAAAAAAGTTTAAAATAGATTTCCCCTACGCAGAAACAAATATCCCTTTCCCATTGACTACTAATATATCTCATAATAATGCATCAAACTATGATATAAATGAAACTCTTAGATACTTATATTACCAATTCAAAAAATGCCATAATTATGAACATAAATCCTCTGGCTCTCACTCGAGTAAAAATCCTAATAAGGGTAAAAAACATTCTAAAGAATCTTTTAGGGATAAATTTAAACCCAAGAGATATCGCGATGATTATAAATCATATTTTTCCAGCAATTCAAGCCTCGAGGCTCGTGTCTCTGCGGAAAATCGAAAAAAATTTTATTCCTCAACTCAGCGTTACGTAAAAAGTAAGGTATATAAGGTAGACACGCGCGATTGTTTAACTTGCGATTCAGCTTCTGATCATTCTAAAGTTGAGAACCATCATACCAGTCATGGAAATGTTGATAAACCTCAGAATACCCACATAGTTAGTAATAGTGATGTACCGAATTCGAATAATAAAAATCAACATACCTATAAAAACGATGATCCACAAATCACTTTGAATACAGGAGACTCAAAAAATAATAAAATTATTTGTCAAAATGAGAATAATTATAAGGATGCTGGTGAAAAAAATGAAAATCCTGGTGTCAACGATATTTTATGGGGAAGCTCAATAGACAAGCTATGTAATCAAAATTTATCTAGTATCTTAGATAAAATCTTGCAAAATATAAAATCGGGCAAGACAAGTTTTCCCAAAAGCAATATTGACACTATTAAATCAAATGATACGATAAATGCAGATCCAAATGATGATTATTGCGAAAATATGTTAAAAGCTGATGTCGTCAATATCGAATTAGGCAAAAAATTGGTTATAAAACTTAATCAATTGCAAATGAGTCTACATAAAGATTACTCTAGCCTAAATGGAACAGCTGAGGAGAAAATTGATAACGTTTTTAACAGTGATAGCATTTTACTTGAAAACACACTTAATCCTGAAATATTTCAGAGTAATGATGACGTTGACACTTATGCTTATCATCTAATAGAAGGTATTGACCTTAATCCAAATGAGCAAGAAATTGTTGATGGCAACGGTGATAAAAGAAGTTTTTTACAACATAATTTGAGCAGTGAAAAGGAGGTAATGGAGGATATATCGGACGACGATTTCGATACTACGATAATCAGAGGATCAAAATCTTTAGAAAAAAATAATTTATCTATAATGAATCCAATGAACGAGTATAGCTTTATTATCAAAATATTAAGCAAAGATGATATACTAAAAGCACTAGAACAAAAAGGGGAAATGATTAGAAAGGATATCCAAGATTGTTGTACACATGAAAAATATTTGTTTTGGGGATCCGAACAGCTTCCAAATATTATAAATGTAAAAGATGCTAATTACCGGCAAAACAATAATTATGATAAAAGTCAGGACATCGAAAATGAAATATTTTCAGGATTTCAAGAGAATCCATCAAATATTACGAATATGAAATCTCCTAAACGTCAAGGGAATGATAACTGTGACAAAAGCGAAAATACAAAAGAAGATTTCCCAAGATCCCAAGAGCTTCAGTCAGGCAACGAAATTATCAAAGTCCCAGAATCACGAGGTAACGATGATTGTACTAAATTTGATGAAGGTACTAATGAAACAATTGATAAATCTAATCATGAAATTCAAATTTCTTTAGATTTTCAATCAAACATCTCATCAACATTATCTATTCCTGATGTGATTACTAGAACTAATAAGGATAAAAGCAACGAGTTGCCATTAGAAATCTATGATAAAAAGCCTAATTTACTTGAAATGGATTTAGCCAGAAGGATTAGATGTGATATTGAAGAAGGTGAAATCGTCTCAGAAGTTATCGATATAGTAGAGCTGGACTTATGCCCGAATTCCATTGAAGTTAACATCGCTCAAGTATTGAATGCGAATTCGCTGACCATTGAAAATTCAATCCAGATTTCAAATAACATGTTATCTTCACCCATGTCCAATGATATATTTGTATATAATTCAGAAACCGCTACCTTACCTCATATGACAACCATTTCCAATATAATAAGTATAACAAGTTTAAACTTGGCGGAGGAGCAAAGGGTTGAACAAGGTATAAACGAGGTTTTATCGCAAAAATCTTTAGAAACAGCAAATTCTAACGTTTTCAAAGATCAGCTACTTAACAACGATGGTAATCAAGAGGTTACAGCTAACGTTACTATTTTAGTAGATTCTAATGAAATGGTAAATATTTTTTCTCTAGTGGATTATATTATAAAATTAATTGATTGTTAATATTTTAAAAATAATAGTTTAAAGTATGAGAACAAAAACTTTGATAGATGATTTAACTAAAACTCATTAAAATTTATTTACAATACAAATCAAAGCTTATGTTTAATGTTATACTAAAACTTTCTCTATTTATTTTAGGTATCAAGAGATAACGAAGATATAATAAACACAAGTAGTTTCAAATCTTGCGGTAATCGAAAATTAAAATTTCAATATTATTTTTTTAATAACTTATATGCACTATGGGCACTTATGTAAGATAGGAGGTTATAATTTATAAGAGCTTCGACCCCATGTTACTACTTATACTGACTTTAATTTTCTAAAATTGAGATTAGGGCCCCACTTAGTGTTATTAAACGACTCGTTTTGAGCCGATTTTTAAAAACGGCTAACTCAATATTTCATCCAGAATAATATTACGCAAGTCTAAAGATTTTGTTTGTAGAAGGAACAAAAGGTAGGACATTTATTAGCCAAATCTCGAGATTTAGACAATATTTTTCTGGTTAGCCGTTTTTAAAAATCGGCTCAAAATGAGCCATACTAGCCCCACTAGACATGTAAAAAGGTTTAACAACCCAAATTATACATCTTTATTTGCTGCTCAACCATAATTCATTTCTTTTATCGCCTTTTCGCGCTCTTAATCACTCAAAATTCCGTTCTATATAAAAACAATTATATAAATTTTGAATTGCCATTTGAGATGCGATAGGTATCCGATAAGGCCTAACTTATTTTCCTCCATATCACTTAGGAAATCTTTGTTGTCTCTTTTAAGTGTCACTATCTAGCTTTACATTGCTCTGTTCCCAAATATGTACATTCTCTTACCTGCTTAACTTTCCTTATCCTTCATTAGTCATATTCAAACTTATAACCATTTTCTTACAACAAATATTTATTCCCTATCTTCCCAAGCAACTAAATAACTTCTTCAATCCTTCCTTAAATTCCTTTGCAACATTTGAATATCTTCTATTCAAAATGCTATCATTAAACATTTCGATTTGAATTTCCATGAATTGGGGAAGTTCGGACATTACATGACAAAGTTATAGAGTTTTATTTGAACTATGGTGTAATTTAATCGATATCAAATATTAACCCACCGAGTTCATTAGTCGGCACCCGTACATTAAGTTCGATATTTTGAAAGGTTATTTTTAATGAGATTATTGATTTGATATCTAATTAATCAATATGCAAATTATTTCAAGAAATCAAAATGATTATGTAAATTACATTTATCGGATTGGGAGAACTTATTGTTCACTATTAATTTGAAATATTTTAAATTATATCTAGTTATTTATGTGCTAGATTATCAATTTTTTTTACCTTTCTTTATTTGGTAGAATCTTTATTGCATCTAAGGTTAAAAAAAAAGGTACTTATTTGAATAACAATATTTCAAAATAAAAATAAATTACAAAAATAATAAATATTGATCTATATACAAAATAATGAAATTCAAATTAATAATATTTTCAAATAAAAAGGACAATATCAAAATTTTGATATTTTAATAAAATGAGACAACTGTAAATATTTTCTTAAGTATTTTCACCATTAATCGCCCTATTTCTTGCTTCCCGTACATTATTGATGCTGAGTGTAAAATATTTTAAGTCTCTAGACAATGTGTTATTTTAATCTAGCTATTTAGTTTTAAAATATTTAACAGCCAGACAACTTCTCTTTCAATAAGTAATTCACGAATTTTATTAAAAATAAATAGGTTTAGAGCTAATTGTGTTTGATTGATACCATTTTTATTCTCAGCTCAATGTAATTGATTGATATCATCTAAAATAATATCAACTTAATGTAATTTTGGTATTAGAGATATACCTATTTACTTGTAGATACCTTTCTATAAATGTCAGCCCAACACATGGGTAAGCCTATTTACATCTATTTTAAAATATTTTTTCTTCAATCCGATATATGCTTCATTTTTTTGTTTTTTCATTTATACCATTACCAGGTTTATAGTAATCAGATGAATCTGTACAATAGCCCTCAATTGGTTTCACCTAAATTGAGCGGAGTTTTATTTTTAAATTTAGGGTTCAAAGAAATTAAAAACTTTTAGTTAATAAAAAAAATTAATTATTAATTAGCCAATAATTTAAAATACCTATCAAATTCTTTTTCTACTGCCCATTTTGCTTAATATTGTTGCCCATTTCTTATTTATGCTCAAATAATTTGTCGTCTTTTTTAAATTGTTTAATTTAGTAACTTTTGAATAACAAATTACATTACTCAAATCTAAAAATTCAAATAAAAAATAATCAAAAGATTATTTCTCGCTATCCCAATATAGTTAATACATCTATAATTAACTTTCCTTTGTTATCTATTTTCTGTTTCCCTTGAATTAGTGTTAAAAAACCCGATTAGGATCAATTTTTAAAAACGGCCCGATTAAGATTTTAGCCAAAATAACATTATGTAAGCCTGGAGATTTTGCGTAGAGGTGCCAAAAAGGTTTTGACATCTATTTGCCAAATCTCGAGTTGTACATAAGATTACTTTGGTTAAAGTCTTAATCAGGCCGTTTTTAAAAATCATCCCGAATCGGGGCTTTTTACAACAATACCTCGTAGGTTAAACTAATACTAAAGTTTTACACCATACTAGATGTAATTTAAATGATATACTTGATCGGTTCAAAATATAATATTTTCTTTTATTTATTTTATAATATATTTTTTGTATATATATATCAGGTTTGTCCGAACAAACCTACAATGAAGAGTCAAATTGCAATCAGTTTTCTGATATTGATAATAATTTATCATCTTGCGAAGATTATGTTATGCCTATTCCATTGGATTATGCAAATAACGCAATGCATAGCGTGATTGATGGTTCTTCAAACATTAGTGCACGTTTGACAGCTAATGAACAATATATTGTCAATGGTGGGATGGTCAGTGGCGTAGAAAGGAGTATAATTGTTATTGAAAATGAAACATCTAACATAAGCCATAATGATCCTGATGCTAATAATAATTTAGAATCTCATAAATTTATCCAAAATAATACATTAATTAAAAAATTTAAAAAAGAAGCGAGCGTAGAAAATATTTCGGACAAAGGTTTGGCAAATACTATCACATTAGAATCATGCTTAACTTCTATCTTTGTTGATAAAAATAGCGAAAATATCAATAAAAAAATTTTGATCCTTAATAAAAGAAAAAGTGAAAACGATGGACTCGAACCGTCTAACCAATTTGTTACCACTAAGTCCTCGATTCCCTCATCAATTGTCAATCTCTATAACAACCTAAATTCTTTTGACAAAAATCCGATTAGTTCATTGCTCGATAATCCTAGAAACACCAAAAATATTTCAAAAGTCTCAAATGATTTATTTATATCCGATTTAATGAATAAGGATAGTATGATCAATGACGATGCCGATATTCAGATACTAGATGCAATTTTAGGTGGGTTAGATAATTTACAAAAGAAACGAAGAAAGATAGCGAAAAACGAAATTTTAAACGAGAATCATGCAAACATGTTTAACGAAGAAGGTATGATAATTGAGGAAATTGAAGGTTCTGTGAATGGGGGCATAGATTCCTCCGATCGAATTTTGGTAACGCATACACACATATTAAAAATTTTTTCTCTATTTTATATACTATTTAAATTTAAAGCTTAGGTATATTTTTATTTTTTAAAAGCCATTCGAGAGTAAACAATATCTAGTTTAAATGAAATCATTTTTTAATATAGATTTATAATATAGAGATCTATTTATATTGTTTTAGGACAAATCCTTTATAGAATCCAAATTGAAAAATATAATTGACCATCAAAATAATCTACAAAACAATAGCGAAATGAATCTAACCATTTCTAATAGCTTGAATCTCGAGCCTTTAATGAAAAATGTAACACAAATTTTATTGTTTTTTTTAAATTTAAATTTTATCTTATAAACAATAATTTAATTTTCTTAATTCTTTTAAATATATTTTACGCTAAAGATCGAGCTAACGATTAAAGACTACATAAAAAAGAAGTCTCATATATCTTTCACCCCTACCATAATCACTTTATCCGATAATGATATTGGTATAGAGAACCCAATTTTCACTACTGCAAATAATACAAATGATTGCGAAATTATTCCAACCGTATCAACTATGAATACAAGGTATGACCTTACATCAACCTGCGAAACTATTCCAACCGTATCAACTATGAATACAAGGTATGACCTTACATCAACCTGCGAAATTATTCCAACCGTATCAAATGTGAATACAAGGTATGACTTACCATCAACCTTATCTGAAAATGTAGATATTCTACATGAACCCCACAATAATATAAATGTTTTGAATAAACAAGCGTTCGAAAAAATTCTTTTCGATGTTCACTCTCATTATAAGAGCCAGTTAGATATTGCAGGTATTGCTTTTACATTATTTTATTTATCAACCAAATATTAATTTTTTATTTTAAGTAACTAAAACAGTTACCTAATTATTTATTAGAACTCGAATTGTCGTAATCAGGTCCGTGTCGGCATGGGGTAACCTGAGAATCAGGCCCCTCTGAATAAAATATTTGTATATCCCCTCCTCAATAAATAAAATGTTTGTTTACGGCACTTTTTTTATAAAATATATGCATTAATAGATTGCATCCTGATTAATTGTAGAGGTCTGAAATGAGAAACAGTGGGAACTAAGAGAGTCGAATAAATAATAAATTTATACTTTTCGGATAAAATATGTATTATCAATTTCTTTTAAAATTCAAATAATTTTCGCAATGTTTGTTTTTAGATTATCGATATAATCAACTAAGATTACAATATCAATGCGAATTTGATCAGCTCAACAAAGAATATACGGAACAAATTAATGAAAACAAAAAAAAACAATGGGTAGTTTTAATTATTTTTTTTTACAATTAATGACTGACATTTTTTTTTATAATTAATTAAACTGACATTTTTTTAAGTTTTCGTAAATAGATAATAATTTTATTTTTACAATCACCAAACTTGTTTAAAATTTTTCACATTTTTAATGTTTGTTTTTGTATATTTTTTAGTGTGTAAATTGCTTCAAGGAAGCTAACTCATATTGTTGTATAGGTATATGGTATTGTAGCATTGCGTGTCAACAACTACATTGGCAATTCCACAGAGAAAATTGTGTTGAATATAAGAACAAAGTAGCTGTACCTATATACCCGCGCAATATTTTAAATATGTGTAATAGTGGAGCTCAGAGTTATAATAATACAGCGATGAGAAATACTATAATGAATAATAATTTTAATAACCCACTTCCATATTTGCATGTTAGCCAGAATTATACTCCACAATTATATAACAGCAGCTCCTCTTATTACAATAATATACCTTCTAGCAACTCATATCTTACCAATTCGAGGAGCATTATTCATTACCCGCCTAACATTCAAGCAAATCAGAACATGTCTTCCAGAATTCTGTACCCAACTTGCATTCATAATACTAATATATTAAATTCTAATATGCCATTTATTTCTACTATCTCAACTTTTCAATTGAGACGCTATCTGGAAAATACCAATATGGGTCATAACTTCAAAAATGCCTATGAAGATTTAAACAAGAGGAGATGAAATTTTATTCAAACATATAATACCTAAGCTGAATTTATAAGCTGCAATATTATTAATAATCATGTAATTCTCTTATTGAAAAAGCGTCATATATCCAAATATTTGCTATATACATCATTAAATAATCTGTTTAACAATGTAATAATAAAAACATTTGTACATTTTTTTCCCTATAGCCATTTTATGCCCTAGTAGATATTTCATAATTTATTATTTGAAAAGAGAAAATATTATATTATATATAGTTTTTTCCCCTCTTTTCCTATCTCTCTTAGACCATATGACATTAATCGAGAGTTTAATGCTGTTATGCTACAATTTATATATGCAAATAATTATAATTGTAAAAGAAGTTAGCTCAAGATTTAAATTTGATTAGTTTTAAATTATAACTTATGGCCACTAATTTCACTACGCTCGATCGCTTTGACTGACTAGCTAATATTGATATTTAAATATAAAACAAATTTTACATAGATATTAAAATAAAAACTAGCGGATGTGAATATATAATAATATAATATATCCCTTATTCAACAGTTAAATAATAATATATAACTATATTTATTAACTTTTAATGTAGATTATTCTTGTGCATTCTAAATAATACGTTAAAGGAAAAGGTAAATTATTTCTATCAATGTGTATATTTAATATTAGAGAAAACCCAGTCTCATTGAACCGTAATAAATAAATTTCTTCAACATGGTTTAAAGACTTCTTGAAAACTTGAATCGGACCCGAGGTTCAAACGGTTTTATTGCATTTTAGATTAAAATCAAATCAATGCGGTAATTTACTAAGTGAGATTTCAGGAATTATATTTTTTAAATTTTCTTACATTTTTTTAGCTCTATTTTTATAGTTAATGCATTAGGTTTGTACACTTTCTGTATTAGTTATTAGCTATTTAATATTTTTTGTTTTGATTTGTATCGTAAATAAGGGCTTGTTTGGGTTACGTCAGTCATACGCTAGACCATTTATAACAAATCAAAATTTTCTATTCATAATAATTTTAAAAAAAGGCTTGAAATAAATTATGATGCAACTAAAATTAACTCAAAAATTAAATTACACGAATCTAAGGTTTTGATTAAAAATATCTTATTTTATCATTTATTATAAAATGTGGGCTTCTATTAGAACTATATCTACACTGTTGAAAATTCTTAAGCAAAACTTTTTGATAAATATTTTGAAATACAAAGATAAAAATATAAATGTTGTAGTTAATATAACATATATTATTTTAATACAAACATGAATCATTGTAATCATAAGAATTAAATATAATTGTGAACTAAAATATAATATATTTACCTTAAATGCTATCTGAAACTGCGTTTTTGTAAAAATATTTCAGTAATTTCTTTTCAAAATCCTTTGCCTATTAATTCTGATGGGAATTCAATATGTACAAATTGCGAAGATAATTTATCATTACTAGAGCCGACGATCATATTTAAATCTATAATTTTGTAACATTAATGTAGTTACTTTTATGATATTTTTTAAAAATAATGCTTTAAGCTTTACTTTGAAAAAAAGATCGCATTTCTTCTCTTATTTCATCAATCGATATATAGTATATTTATCAGGGATTTGCAAGGCCCGACCATAACCCATAACCCGACTTAGGTATACGAGTCGGGTTTATATACTTTTAAATAAACTCGGACTGGTAAAAAAAAGTTTCATCAACCAGAAGGATTGGAAAAATATATTTCTCTATAAATCCGGGTCGTATAAAATGAAAGTAAAATAGTTTTAAATTATTCACTAATTATATTTATTTTTAGTCAACTTAACACTAATCAAATTAATATCTAAAATAAATGTATAATCTCAAATATTTTACTCTCATAATAATTTTCTTAACAAAGAAAAAAATTTAAATCAAGTTTTTTGATTGTGCATTTTTCCCAGAATTAAAATGGGACTCATACAAAAATCAACATTAAATTAATTGGAAAATAAGCGAAAAAATTTTATATTCATAAATCAAGGCATATTTAATTTAAACTTTAATTTATTCTATGACAAAATATTTTTTATTAAAAATTTTATCTATTCTTATTCTCTTTATTTGACAAGAAAACAATAAAATTTGTAGTATCTTTTGGTAGTTTTTAAGTAAATTTTGTTTTGCTTTTAAAAAATTTTATTTTTATTCTGATACCTGAATATATACACAAATTTTATTCAGGAAACGTAATATTTTTTTCAGTCTAGCAAGATTTTGTATCAAGTTGAATAATATAATGCTATTTAATATAAACTTATCGAAATTATCAAGCTATAATATATCTTGCAGATTGTAAATTTCAAAAAAGTAAATATTTCATTTCATAAATTTAATTGCAAAATATTCCTTAAATCGTTGTACACAAGATATCGTTTTAATAAAATAAATCTATTTTGATAATCTTATCTTATTGATATAAATAAATTATGAATATGTAAAAGAATTATAAAATTTCTTCCTCTAAATTAAATAAAATTATTTTAAAAATTATAAAAATATTAAAAACTCATTTTATAAAAACGGAAGAATTATTTTTTAAAATATTTAAAAGTTCTAAAAAATAAAATTCTTTTCGGAGTTAATAAATAAAATATTAATGTATTTATTTTAATGAGTGCTAATTTAAATAATGGGTACATTTTTAAAATACGGCACTAATATTTTTAAAATATGGTACTAATCCATTTTTAAAATTGGCTACTAATTTAAAAAATGGGATGATTTAGTATCTAAAAGGCTAGAGACGCTCCTGCTAACATGGGTACGGCCAGATTATAACAAGAATAAGTTATCTATCATTATTTGAAAACATTATAAAAGATAGTATGATCTTGTGCATATTGAGAATGGTTATTTTATTAATATTTTGAATATTGTATAACATAATATATTTAAAATATGATGTGTATCTCGTAACAGGTCAATTCAGCGAAACTTTTATCGCGAAACACTTTTTCGCTAAACTTTTATCGCATGTCGTTTATCGCGAAAAGTTTTTATAGCGAAGGTAAAATCGCGAAACCAATTCTGCGAATTTATCTCCGCGAAACATTTATAGCGAAGACAATTTCGCGAAGCCTTTGTCGCGAATTTATTTCCGCGAAACCTTAACCGCGAATTTATTAGAGCTAATACATTTTAGCGATACATTTTACGCGAACACTTTACAGCGAATAAGTTTGAGCGAAGATTATCGCGAGCTCATTACCGCGAAACAATAAATATAATGCGAATGCATTTATTTAAAAGAAAACAAGGGTAAAAATATCATTTATATTGTAAAGATGTTAAATTATAAATTCAATGAAGATGTACCTTGGAAATATGGCAATTATCATAATTGGTATTTTTAAACATATTAGATTTTTATAACGTAAATGGGCAAAAATATGTATTTTTAACGTGTTAAATTATAATTTCAATTAGGATGTACCATATAAAAGCGACAATAGTCATAATCATTATTTTTAAAGTTTTTTTACAATTTTTTGACGTAAATGGGCAAAAATATAAATTGTTACATGTTTAAATAAAATTTCAGTGAAGATATACCATAGATATAAGTTAAAATTGTCATAATCGTTGTTTATAAGTTTTTTGAATTTTTTTGTTGTAAATGGGTAAAAATGTAGATTGTAAACATGCTAAATTAAAATTTCATGAAAATATACCATTTATTAATTAAAGGAATAAGATTATGAATCCACATCTTAAAAGTTTAGAATTTAACATAGGTTACAACTATCATTAATAATCACTTTGCATATTTTTATTAAATTTTAAGCAGGATAAAAGGAACAACGATTATGAGAATGAAAATATCGATTTGTTTTTTTGTTAGGACTGAAATTTTATTTTAACATGTTAACAATTTATATTTTTGTACTAATTGTGTCAAACAATTCAAAAACTTTAAAAATAACGATTATGACTATTGTCACTTACTATCTAGGGTACATCTTCACTGAAATATTATTTTAACATGTTAGCAATTTATATTTTAGTCCATTTGCTTCAAAAAAATTTAAAAACTTTTAAAAATAACTATTATGACAATTGTCACTTTTATATGGTACATCTTCATGAAATTTTAATTGACATTTTTACAATCTATATTTTTACCCTTTTGTAACAAAAAATTTCAAAAACTTTAAAAACAACGTTGTGACAATTGTCACTTATCTATGGTACATCTTCATTGATATTTTATTTTGACATGTTAGCAATTTCTATTTTTGCCCATTTGCTTCAGAAAAATTCAAAAAACTTTAAAAATGATTATGACAATTGTCACTTATCTTGGGTACATCTTCACTGAAGTTTTTTTTAAATACGTTATAAATACTTATTTTGGCCCATATACGTCAAAAAAAGTTTAAAAATAACGATTATTACAATTATAACTTTTCTGTGGTACATCTTCATGAAATTTTAATTTAACAAGTTTACAATCTATATTTTTACCCATTTGCATCAAAAAAATTCTAAAAACTTTAAAAATAAGGATTATCACAATTGTCACTTATCTAGGGTACAACTTCATTGAAGTTTTATTAATATATGTTAACAATACTTATTTTCCGATTTACGTCAAAAAAATTTAAAAAGCTTTATAAATAACGATTATGATTTGTCACTTTTATATGGTGCATCTTAATTAAAATTTTAATTTAACATGTTAAAAATATATATTTTACCGTAAAAAAATCTAATATATTAAAAAATATCGATTATGATAATTGTCATTTTTCCAAGGAACATCTTAAATAACGAATATAAAAATTGTCAGATTAAATTATTATCCTTAAAAAGATCATATACATAAATAAGTTAAATAAAAATATTTTTAAAAAATATTATTTAGAAAACCCACCTCTTTTAATATACTTAAAAAATAGATAATTTTACAAAAATGATAAAAAACATAAAAGATTTCTCCTAAAAGAATTTTATTTATAATAAAATTCACAAAAGAATTCCTCAAAAAAGATTTAAAATTTTTATCAAAATATGTTTAAAAATCTTTTTGAACTTCAAAAATATTTTTTGCTTAAAATTTTGGGCGTGTGAAAATCACTAATAAATTATAACAAAAATAATATTACAATAGTAACATATCTTTTTTTTTATTAAAAAAATATCAAATAAAAGAAATCCATTTTTCAATTCATAATATAATAATATAAATAAAAAATATATATCATATAATATGTTTATTTGTTGATAAATAAAATATTAACATTAAATATAAATAAAATAAATTATTTTAATAAAAATAAAAAAATAGTAATAAGCCGCGTTTTATTTTGCGAAATAGTTTTCGCTATATTGTCTTCGCGATAAGAGTTTCGCTATAAAAAATTCGCGATATTTGTTTCGCTACATTGTTTTCGCGGAAAAATATTCGCTAATGTGGATTCGAGATAAAAGTTTCACTATAAAATTCATTCGCGATAAACGACATTCGCGATAAAGGTTTCAATTATCCTGAATTTTACATAATAGATATTATATTTAACATTATAAATAATATAATAATTTATAATTTTAAAAAATTTATTATAATTATAAAATAAATATATCATTTTGTCTTTTGTATTCTTATTGTACACAAATTCAAAATGAACGTAATCCTTACATTTTATTGCTCAAAAAATTATCTTTTTGCTATGCTTGTTTTTCTTTCAGATATGAATAAAAATCTAGGATTTTTTTGTTTTAACGGGCTAGCGGGCTAGATTTATATTAAATTTTTTCTTGACTTTTTTATTTACAAAAAGCTTGCCTAATATAATAACCCTAGATTGCTAAAATATATCTCTTTAAGCTTATATAATTATTTGTTTATGTATAGATTTATTTAAAAGTTGCATATAGTATCAATATATAGAACTCATTATTATAGTATATTGATATTTTATATCATTATATAGAAAATTAAATTCTAATGATTAGTAATTGCTTTGTAATTATATATCATTTATATATTTTTAATTTGTAATAAAATTTCTTGGATATCAATGCCATATAAGTCCCTATACATATATGGCGCATATTCTTTTCAACTGTTATAATAATTTTTAAATCGCCCTCTAATATGGTTCTACATGTTTTAATTTGTGAATTAAAAAGACAATTAAATATTAGATTTTTTGTCTACAAATATCTCAGAATCAAAATATAATAATTATATAATATTATACATTTTATGCCCCCCACCCTACTTTCAATTTCCCTTCCCGCGAAACTTATTAAACTATGAATAAGGAATAATAGCATAATACGTTTTTTATAATAATTTCGAGATATTTAACTGGATTTTAAATATTAACTTATTTTTATCTTTTGAACGTCTTTTAATATTCACACAAGTATTTATTGTTACTACTTCTTTTATTTTGAGATTTGGCGTTACCTTTTATACAAATAATTATTAATTTGTAAACTTTTTAAGTTTTATTTTATTTTAATTATATTATTAAATAATAATTTTATATTCTTATATAAAGAATGGTATTTTAGAAATAAAAAACTTATACAATTTTTGAACAGAGTGATCATATATAATTGTCTATTAAATAAGGTACTGAGCCCATTTCTACAACCTTCACATATTTTTATATGTAAATTCAAAAATCCATATAAATAACTTTAATTTTTAAGTATTCAAAATACATTGGAAATACGAAAATAATACAATACTGAACTTCGTTACATTATATTATACTAGATGATTTCTTGTGGATATTTATATATTTTATTAAAAATATGATTTCCTCCTTATTAGAGAAATAGCAATGCAGATATTTGTAAAAACTTTGACTGGAAAGACTATAACCTTAGAAGTTGATCTTATTTTAATGTAAAATTAATTTATAATTTTTAAAGGTTGAGCCAAATGATACAATAGATATTATTAAAGCTAAAATTCAAGATAAAGAAGGTATACCGCCAGATCAACAGAGATTGATTTTTGCAGGTAAACAACTAGAAGATGGCCGTACCCTTTCCGATTATAATATTCAGAAGGAATCAACTCTTCACTTAGGTAAGATAAGTATATAGATTTTTTTATATTACCTAAAATAGTTTTAAGATTACGTGGAGGTGGAAAAAAAAGAAAGAAGAAAAATTATACTACACCCAAAAAAAACAAACATAAAAAAAAGAAGGTCAAGTTGGCTGTCTTAAAATTTTATAAAGTATATTCTCATTCTAAAACATTGAATACTATTATATTTAAGGTTGATGAAAAAGGCAAAATTACACGATTAAGAAGGGAGTGTTCTAATCCTTCTTGTGGAAGTGGTGTTTTTATGGCTGCCCACTTTAATAGACAATATTGTGGAAAATGTCATTTAACCTTGATGTATGAAAATCAAGATGAAAAATAATTACAAATTCAATATATTTATATACATGTTTTTATTTTTTTTACAAATAAATATCTTAAAATGAATTATTTAATTATGTTATCCAGATACTTGGTTTAGGTTAAGTTATACTTAAAAGTATTAAATTTTTAAAGCAGAAAAATTTTGGTGATCTAGAGCTAACACTTGTATTTTATATCAATTTATAATGTTTAAAACCAGAATAAATTTTCCTTGTGAAATTGAAATTATTATTTTAGTTTTAACTGATAATGCAATAGATTTTCTATTTATTAATGACTATATTAACAATTATACAATATAAATAATCACTTAATTATGAATATAATGGTCAATATAAGATTAAGAAATATGTAATACAGCTGGCTTAAAGCATTGACTGATTAATTTTGCTAATTTTTAAGTGCAGCAATTTTAACAAATATGAAAGATAAATTTGGCTATCTTTTTTGTTGCCTTACATCATTTTTATAAATTGCAAATTTTCTTAAAATAAGTAGAGGTAAAACTACAAATATAGATATTCTCAAGCTTACATCATAAATAAGAAATTCTAGAAGAAAGATATTAAATCAATTAGCCATAAGTTGATCTACTATTTGAGATATACATAAATGTATAAATACCAGAGTTATGATCAGGCTCAGAACTAGTGATATGCATTGAGCCCGAAATTTTCATCCCTGGCTCAAAATTTTTTAACCCAATGAATTTATTTAACTTGTCCTGAAAAACCTGACCCTTAATACATAAAATTCTTGTCTACTTTGCCCACCCTAATTTATTAAATATTTAAACTTGTCTCAATTTGGCTTGAGTTTTTTAAAATATTAGGCCTGACTCAAATTTAATTTTTTTTATCTATAGCTAATTTGGGCTTTGCCTAATTTTGCAGATCTCTTTTCATATTAATAAAAACTATAAATGAATAATTTTCTATGAAAAATTGGCAAATAAATGGTTAGATGAGATCTTTACATTTGAGAGACAAGTTTTAATATTAATTAAGATTATATTCAATATGATATTCCTTCTATAAGGCTTAAAAAATCATATGAAATTCTATTTATATCATTCTATTTCATGTAGTCAAAAAAGGAACCATGTATAGTAATAAAAGACTGATTAAATTAGGCTCAAATACATAAATTAAGGAATTTTGGGACAGTATGAAATAGGAAAATTAACATAAACTTGGGATGAAACCAAAAACATTCAAATGCAAGAAATAAGACATTATCTTAAATTGTAAAATGTACACTTAAAAATAAATATAAAAATTCACTTTAAAAAAACATGCAAAAATTGAAACAAATCTCATTTACCTACAATATTTACTAAAATAAATTTTGTCTTTAATTTTGCATACAATATCAATATAAAAATTATTTTAAAAAAATATATCTGCTAGTAAAAACAATACGAAATATTTAATAATTCCTGAACTATTGGTTCCCATACCTTAGAGAACTGCACAGGCTGTCCGTAGCCCAACATGAGCATAAAAAATATTATCTGAAAATATATTTAATTAAATAATCACATCAGAGCGGCGACAATTCGGTGTGGCGTCAATTCAGCACGCCGTCAATTCCGCGTGTATCTAATAAAGTTGCAATTTATTATAAACTAGTATAAAAAATAAGGACGACTATTAAATAGTAGTCATGTTGATCCTATTAATTATTTCTTTATATTTTTTTTACAAATATCTAAATTTTATTTACTAAATGAGTAATATCAATAAAAAAATTAATAATATTTATAACGATTTCTTTGGTGGACCTATTTAACATATTGTAAGGTATGTTGATTAATAGCCAATATTATGTAATCCTGGAGATTTTGCGCGGTGTAAGAAGGTTTGGTCCAACATATGGCTAGAATCTTAATTGACCATTTTTCAAAATAGACCCAAATCTGCCGTATAACAACACTAATGTTGATCCAAAAATATTCAAATAAAACTCATTTTTTAGATTTATTAAAAATCCTTAAAATAATTCTATTAATCATTTTAAAATATATATATATTATGTTTAGGCTAATTTTTTATATTATAAAATAATCAAAACGAAGTAACGCACAACTTTAATATTTATTAATAAAATGGCTATAGAAAATATAAATATATTATATAAAACATGCTAAAAATATGTTTAAAAGAACATTTAAGAAAAAATAGATAACATTAATATGTTTGAAAATTTAAATTATATGCGATCCCGCTTAAATAATTATTAATCGGGCGATTTACATAATCAGATACAATTAATATAATATTTTCAGCTGTATCCCGTGTCTTGATCTCGGGAGTTGCGTACCAGAAATATATTGTTCAATTTTTGCTTCGGTTAACGATTGTTTTAAACGTAGAGCATCTAAAAATTTCTATATAGTGGGATGGTGCGATGATGGCAGAGATAAGAATGTCTAGAAAATAATTGCAAAGTAAATTATAAAAAATGATTGTGTAATAATGATTAAAAAGATAGCAAATTAAAAAAAATTACCTTCAATTGCATTATTTGTTTTTAGGATTCACTCCATTGTAGCAGCGTATTGATTCTAAAGGGAAATTGGAAACCTTGGTGCTTGTCTATCTCCATTACGAAGAATTTTACCAATCCAATTCGCTTCATAATATGTAATAAGATTATCTGACTCTTTCATTGTCTTGATAAAACGGTGTTTGTAAAAGTCCATAAAAGACATCAACTACGTCATCCACGGGAACAAATGCAATAGAAAGCATTTTTCTAATTTTTATTGACCACTTATTTCCTGCATCTCTATCTAAATAATGTGCTAGTAACTCACTATCACTTTGTGTGTGTCTCCAAATAGCTTGGGCCATTCAAATTAAAAAAACCCTCTTACAGTTAATGATGAAAATGAATGAGTAAAGTCATTTATTTCCACCTGTTTAAAATTGATCATTATAGATATAGGATTCAGATTATTAAGTAATCTTTTTATATCATCCAAGACCCTTATATATGTAATCTGGGTTTTATTCGGTAATAGAGCAAAAATTGTGGGTAAAATCGTTTTATAATATAGGACATGGAGGGTCCAAATTTGGTGAAAAATTATTGTCTTAAACGCGTCATCTGCATACCAGTGACTGCTTTCCGCCATCAATGTAAGGTTTTGGGCGATGGCGAATATCCACCTGTTGCAAATGCTTGCTGTTATATTGAAGGAATGGCAACCCCCGGGTAAATCTAGATCATAACTCATCGTTGGGCTAGGTAATGGAGAACCTATAAGCTATCTAGCCATCTGAATGGTCCGTTTTATTGACGCGATGGGTGGAAGGGCAGAATAAATGGATGAGGAACCTCCTGCTATTGCAATGCTTATTGGTTCAACAAAGAAATCAGTATAAATATTGGTTGTTAATTTTTTTGGATATTATTAAATTTTTTATTGATATTACGCATTTAGTAAATAAAATTGAGATTTTTGTAAACATTCAAAATGACTTCTATTTATTCATCCTATTTTTTTATAATAATAAATAAATAATAAATTGGAAAATATCAATGGCAAATCTGAGGTCTGGAAAAAGTTTTCACTTATATATGATGAAAACAAAGAAAAACTTAATTATGTATTGCAAAAATATATTTATGTTTATAATTCTATAAACAACAGGTTAGTATATTTATACATAAAATATATTAAATTATTTTAGGCACAAGTCAACTAAAGAGGTACAAATGTGTATTTACAATAGAGATTAAAAAGATTCAATTAACAATTAATAACCTTTTTGGTACTGATCCCAAAATACTCAAAAGTTGTACCAAATTAAAAAAAAAGAGTGTACAAAAGATGCTTACCATGTGTTGTGTACGTGATTTGAGATCATTGATACAGTTCATGGGGAAAGATTTGTTGATGTTGCCAATATTTTGTTAAAATTGACTCACTATATGGAAATATTGATGTTAAAAGCATCATTCCAGATCCCACGACAATTTCTAGAAATATAATAGATACTGCTGATGGCATACGCAATAAATTATTTCCGAAATTAAACACATTTATGAAAAAGGGTCGATGTGCTGGTAATAAATCTATGAAAATATGGTTAAATTGTATATAATTTTTTATAGCCACCACAGACCTTTGGACTGATGATTATAAGAAAGTTTTATATATCTTACTATTCGTTTAACGATTCCTGGAAACTTATAAACTTGTATTGTTTACATGCATGAAGAAGAGAAAAAGACTGGTGAAAATATTAAAAGGGAAATTATCAGAAATTTTACCTTATTAGGTATTGATTTCATTAATAATTATAAAAATCAATATATTTTTTAAATCAGGAAAGGCATATTTATCTCAATTGTCATTTATTACAGACCAAGGAGCTAATATGATTAAAGCATTTGAAAAGCATAAACGATTGAATTGAGCTTCTCATCTTTTAAATGTATTAAGGAATACCTTTGATAATAAAAATATTGAATCTCAGGGTTTATAGATATATCAATGTTTTGTTGATTTTAAAAGTTTCGTAACTTATCTGAAACAGAGTGGGTATGTTAAATCAACTTTTTATTAAAATATAGCATTAAATTTTAGATTAGTTATTCAACTTAATAAAACACACTATTTGCGTGTTAGACTCTTTGGAATAGCAGACTAAAGATGATTGAATCGATTTTTAATCAATTCAATAAAATATTGAAGATTCTCAGTTCTAGAGGAGAGTCGATTAGGCTCAAGCATATAGATTTTGAAATGATGAGGGACTTTATCAAGTTTCTTACGCCTTTTAAAATTGCTAGTGATGAACTTGAGGGTGATTTAGAACCCACCATTCACAAAGTTATATTGTGTTATCACAAAATATTGAGATTTTTAGCTCATCCAAACTTGAACTCGCAGTTTAACCAGCTATCGCAAAGATGCCGGGAACTAATGGTGGATAAATTTTAAATAGATATATTACAATAAATTTCGAAGTTTTTGTGCCCAATTTCGGGATATGGAAATGTTTTCCCGAGAACATTATAAAGATTTGTGCCAAAATATTAACGTTGACTAATGCAGAGATCAAATATTATTGGGCAAAAATCTATAAATACGAGCTCACCATCTACTCAACTGATAGAGTGGTAAATAAAGGTTCATT